ATGTAGCTGCCGAATGAAATTCAATTTTAGTTAAAACGGAGACATCGTATTGAGTTCAACGCCGAGGAACACTTGCGAGCCGGTCATAAATTGAATTTGTATTCGAAAAAATAAATATTTTATCATACAATTTAAACAAGTGAGTATAAGAACAACAATGAAAAATAAATTTTAGATGATCATGGTGGTATTATCAGTCAATTAGTGCAACAATAGCGTGGTAAATTGCAACTAAATACAAAATAAAGAAGAAATTGAGTTTAGTGAAAATAAAATTGACTGAATTCTTTAAAAGAAAGAATGTAACCACAATTTAATAAAAAAATACAAAAAACATATTTTTAAAATATTTTTTTTTTAATATACGACAAAATCGTTCAAGACGATTATTTAATTCAAAGAGCTATATATTTATAAACAGAGTTTTTGAAATAATCGACACAAATAGGTTGGATATATATTTCTAGTAAAATATACAAAAATAAAAAAAAATAATTAAGATTGACACAAATTGTTTAACTACTTTCCATTAAAAATTGATTTGGTATATTAAAAAAAAATTTAAAAAATAAAAAGCCGCCACACAGATACAAACATATGTAGTTGTGAAATCTTAATATGAATATGCGATATTGGACTTTTTCTAATCTTCCATTCAGATATGAATTATCGGTGCCAACAAAAAGGACAATACAAAATATTTACTTAGTACTTAGTCTAGTCTAGTGTTTGCAAAATAACAACTGATAACATAAATCTTTGGATGTTAGATTCGCTTAACAACAAAAACATAATAATTGTCTATCAATAAAAGTATGTTTTCGAAATTAAATTAAATTGAGATCTCCTACCTCTTCAACCATAAAACTTTACAACCCATGGCATAATTATTAAAGGTAGTCTCATTTGCTAAATCGATAATGACATCCCCAGCAACTTTGTACTTGATTTTGTCATTTTCAAATAAAATTTATATTTGAAACCGTAACCATTTACGTACGACGAATGGCATATTTGAATATATTGAAAATATATATATATATATATTTTATAATAATTTTAATTCAATATTTATACAAAGTCTTATTCTATAGGGTAAGGTAGGGAAGACTATAGTTTCAGATCTCGCCTCTGATCCTCATCAGTTTCCTTAGTTTTTTGTTGGGTGTATTGTCCCCAGAAGGCAAAAAGGTAATAATTATCGCTTTACTCATCACTACAAAACAACAAAAAATGAGATAATTGTAGATTTTTTATTAAATCGATGTATTTTATTGAGAATGTATCTGTATCAAAATCTCATTGTCTAGGAAAAGTGGACTTATTGACATTTTACGTTAAGCCAGCGATTGATGATTGGTATCCACTTTTTTTAAATGTTAGCATAATCCACAGCTACGATTTAGTAATGATCTGTTGTCCCTCCTGGATCCCTCCGGGTTTGATCTTTAGTCTATGAAAAGTTTGTTATTTTTCCATCGGCAGTACGCACAAAGCCAAGGTGTATTTAATAAGGTGTAAGTGACAATCATATGGTTTCACACTATTTTTTTATTGTTTGTAAAGCGAATTGTCGAAAACATTTTCAATATTATATTTCGATTTCAAAAATGGTCTTTAAATTGAGGCTAATTATAAAAATTCAAGAAAACTACATTCATAGAGGCGGGCGGAAAAGAAACCTAGGCTCAGTTATAACCCCGTTTACCAATTGGTCTACATATTTTATGTTATGTGTGCAAATCTGTCCAGAAATCCCAGTAACTCATAAAATCGAGCAGATTATGTTAGCCTATATTGGAATCGGTCCCTTGGTGCTTGTCACAATTCTCGTCGGAGTTTAAATACGCACATGGAAAGATTTTATACGGTCAACACAATTTCCACGATTTAGTCTTTGGCCGGGGAATTGTGTCCTTCAATTTTCTTTAAGAAGGCAAGATTTGAAGCCACCTCATAGAAAAAATAGATTGGAATCCACCATATAAACAACATCACAAGGAGCCATGGGCTACATGTGGGAAACTTAAAATTAATCACGACCAGGTCTTAAACATTATTTTTCACTGACCTAACACCGCCAATAACCGAAAAATACACAAATTCATTAATTATTCCTTAAATAATAGTTCTTGAAATTACCAAATAAATATATACCAATATTACGGGTTTCGAACACAGACTTGATCCAAAACTTTGCGTATCGAAATATTATTTTCAAATTAAAACCATAATGTCAGCATGACAATTTATAATTTATATAACAACAATGTTGTTTTTGTAAAATATTTGTTGTTTGATGCCATGGTACAATTATAAAAGGTAACAGCAAATCCCAGCTGATTTGATTCCAACGTAATACTAGTGTCAATATGAATTTGACAAATTATGTTTTTATACACCCAACAGGAAAATTGGGAACGCATACAATTTGAAATTGTTCTTTATTAAATATGCTCCCGTATTCAATTTACTCAATCTGCCTGCTGGGAAAGTTTCAGGAAGCAAATCTTTCTTCAAGGAATAACTCGCTATTCCCGGCATTTTCATATGTGTTACACATATATGTGGCAATGGCTCAGTTATAGGAAAGATGTGGAAGCGATAGAAATATAACTTTGAAAGATTTTCAGTCATGTTTTTCAATTTTTATTTTGAGGATTCGAAAATATTTCATTTTCAAAATAAAAATAATTTTATGATAATTTGTTTGTTTGTTTACATTTTTCTGTCAAATGAGTTGACACTAGTAGAACTTACAACAACAAATTTCCATGTGGTTGTTGTATCGTTTTTTGTACAACAACACTTGCTGTTACCTTCTATTATTATACCATGGTTTGATGCATATACCTTATTAAATACACCTTGCACAAGGAGGAAATAAAAATTATAATTTTTGACAATGAAAATACAGTAAGTCCTGATTTATATTAGGCGAATTTACTTACGGCAATTTTTATCGTTCTCTTTTGAACTTGCTTCATTCGTCTATACAAGGCAAGTCGATTTCAAAAATATTTTTTTTTACATTTTGCGACAATGTTCTGGATTGGTATTTCAAATTACTGACACTACAAACAAAATACACAAAACGAATTGAACGAAAATTACTGTACGAACAATTTTTTTCAATTTCTATTCTTCTTGCCACTCTCTCCTTTAAGCAAAGACTTGCCGCAATTAAACTCGCCTAATATAAATTGGGACTAAGAAAAAATTTTGAGCATATGAGTGCATGAGACTACCTTCCTTATTATAGCTAAAAATTAAAGCATGGTATACCATGCTTTAATTTTTAGCTATAATATATATATATATGTCATATATTATCATTTATTTTTTCCAATAATCGGTCACCATATATTCGAAACAAGGACCAAAGTATTTGATAATCCGTTTTAATTCAGGACATCTTCTCTGACCAATAGGAACCATTATTAAAAACGGTAGAACCATTATATTAGATTGAATAAATTATCAAATAAATATATACCAATATTACGGGTTTCGAACACAGACTTGATCCAAAACTTTGCGTATCGAAATATTATTTTCAAATTAAAACCAAATTCGAGGACATGGAATATATATGGAATTGGACGACGTTCCCACAAAATTCGAAATGTTTAAAATTATGAATTACAACTGCAATGTTATGAATTGCAATTTAAAAAAGATGTAGTGGTACATCGTGTAACTTTCACTCCCATTGTTTATTTTTTGAAAACGTATATTTACTAATTCTGCAATGATATTTTCGATGTTACCGAAAATACCAAGCACCCTAGGTGTAATAGCAATCTATGTGCAAAATTTCAAGTCTTTATCTTAACTATTGTAATATATATCTTTATGCACTACTGACATTTTAACCTCCGATATTTTACGAGCTGACTTATTAAACCTTGATAATTACTATATTTTTTTAAGCTCAACTCGATATGTACCTCGAAAGTGCAACATTCACATAGTAATCTACACCCAAAGTGGTATTTTTGCTGAGAACATTTCTCTAAAACCCCTATTTGTGATGTATTTTGCATTCTGAATCAATCAATTAGTAGATCAGATGATATAAGAATTCTTGAAGTAGTAGTACTTTTTTCATTTAACCCAGTGGGTTTCAATAGTCAATTCCTTTGCATATATGTCAAATAAATCCTCATAAAGTAGGTTAACCTGGTAAAAAGGTTCTATTGTATATGCGGTTTAGCTTTTAAACAACACTTTAATGCCAATGTAATATTCGTTTGAATTCACATTTACATTATACTGGATTTGACAAACCCAGTGGCTTTAAATTTTCAATTCTATTGCATATATAACAATTAATCCTCATCGAGAAGTTGTAACCAACAGCAAGTTTTTTATTCGATTTGCCTGAAACAAATCGAATATTGAACATATGGCCATTCAACTTTAGATTATAGCAAATAAATTTCTAATCAATTGTGTATTTATCTCCGTTTACTTATACTGTTTTTCAAATTGTATCTTGAATTTCAGCATGCATAGACATACACATTATATTCCGAGATAAAGTTTCTAGTGTTTATAATTTGTATGGTGTGAATGTTGAGATTTGTTATCATCACCAGTAAAAACAGAAACAAAAAACGAAAAAACAAGTCTACTGGTGGTTTCTTAGATTATTCGAATGTATTCTATAGTAACAAAATGAACATATCGATAGACATACATTTTTATTAGTTTCAACGATAATCTGAACTAAAAATACATTCAAAAGATTTTCAGTGATAAGTTTCTCATATATATTTTTCTTGATGTATGTATAGGATTATCACTTTCTTTAGAATTAGAAAAAAATGGGTGTGTATTTATAAAAAAAAACATAAAACTTTATAAGATTACAATGGGCCCTGAACCTATTATGAATAATGTAATACATACTAACTTCAAACGATTAAATATTCCATTTTAAGCCTAGAATCCGCATCATTATTAAGTATCCATATTTTAACTTTTTTATTTTCAGCATGTCACAACTATTCCGTGCCGTTAGCCTACTCAAAAATGCTCCCTTGCATCAGGCACAGAGGGTAGCCTCACTCCATCTCAGCTCCGCACTGAAAGCCAGCAGCTATTTAATCGATTCACCCGAATATTCCTTCCTTAAGGATGTCGGTTTGGAACGTGAAAATCCCGGTGTATTCACTGGTTCATGGAAAGGTTCCGGCGACGTTGTTACCTCTATTGATCCTGGTACCGGCAAAGCAATTGCCAGTGTTCGTTCGGGTACAGTTCAAGAAATGGAAGAATCCATTAAAGTAGGTGTGGAAGCCTACAAGGAATGGTCTAAAGTACCTGCCCCCGTAAGAGGTGAAATTGTTCGCCAAATTGGTGATGAATTGCGTAAATACAAGGAACCATTGGGTAAATTGGTAAGCTTGGAGGTGGGCAAAATCTACAGTGAAGGTCAGGGAGAAGTTCAGGAATTCATTGATATCTGTTATTATGCTGTGGGTTTGTCACGCATCTATGCCGGTCAAATGATCAACTCTGAACGGGCTGAGCACACAATTTTGGAGGCGTGGCGTCCATTGGGTTTGGTGGGTGTCATATCGGCCTATAATTTCCCCAATGCTGTTTTTGGCTGGAATGCTGCCATTGCTTTGGTAAGTCTACAAAAGATTTTAAGCCAAACAAAATGTAAATTTGAATCTACTTTATTTTACAGACCTGTGGTAACAGTGTTTTGTGGAAGGGAGCACCCACTACCTCCTTGGTTTCTGTCGCCACCACCAAAATTGTCGCCGATGTCTTGAAGCGCAACAACTTGCCACCAATCGCCACCTTGTGTCAGGGAGGTGTTGATGTTGGCAAGAAATTGGTTAGCGATAAACGTGTCAAATTGGTCTCTTTCACCGGTAGCTGTCAAACTGGCCGTGATGTTGGTGTTGAGGTACAGAAACGCTTTGGCAAAGTTATCCTCGAATTGGGTGGCAACAATGCCTTGGTTATCAATGAAGATGCTAATTTGAAAATGGCCTTGGATGCTGCCCTCTTCGGTTGCATTGGTACATCGGGACAACGTTGTACCACCACCAGACGTATCATTGTCCACGAGAAGCTGTACGATCAATTTGTCAAGGAATTGTGTGGCAAATATAAACAAGTTTTGTCACGCATTGGTCATCAATTGGATGCCAATACCCTTGTCGGTCCCGTCCACTCCCAACTAAATATTGATGGCTATAAGAACACCATTGCCGATGCCGTCAAATTGGGCGGTAAAGTGGCCTTTGGCGGTAATGTAATTAACCGTGAAGGTTTCTTTGTTGAACCCACAATCATTACCGGTTTGGCCCATGATGCTCCTGTGGTACACCGTGAAACTTTCGCTCCCATTGTTTATATTTTGAAAACAAAATCCGTTGAAGAAGCTATTGAATGGAATAATGAAGTCGATCAGGGTCTGTCATCAGCCATCTTTACCGAAAACATGTCCAAGGCCTTTAAATGGATTGGTGCCCAGGGTTCGGACTGTGGCATTGTTAACATCAACACAACAACAAATGGTGCTGAAATTGGTGGAGCCTTTGGTGGTGAAAAACACACTGGTGGTGGTCGCGAATCTGGTTCCGATGCCTGGAAACAATATTGCAAACGTGCCACCATCACCGTTAATCACTCCGGAGAATTGGCTTGTGCCCAGGGTGTTGTTTTCAATGTAGAATAATTCAAGAAAAAATCGATTATTTTTAAGTTCAAATTCATTTATTGTCCATTTACGAAGCTTTAAAGAAAATCAATTGTGAGTTTTGTTATAAATGCACACGATTATTTTTTTATTATTTTGATTTTGTTCTTTTTTGTATATTTTTTATATAATAATTGTAAACATAATAAATGTTTCCATTTTCTTTTAGTAAATAAAATAATAAAATTTTACGATTACAAACAACCAAAAATGTAGATTTATAATTCTTTTTCCGTTACATCGAAACGCCAAAAATCCACTTCAATATCAACTGATTTATTTTTATGGAATTTATAGCTGTTGTCTATGTTATATTTTAGTTGGGCCACCACTTCGCCTTTTACTTTCCAATCTTTGGATTTTTTGTGTATGTAATCCCTGGAAACGGAGGGAGGAATAATAATAATTAACAAAATTAAATATTAAATTAAATTTTGATTTTACCTTGTTGAAGATTTATGCAGGGAATAAACAGCACCGGTAGCCAAATGAATGCCCGTCTCAATAAATTTCATATCCATACCGGCATTGTGTTTTGTACCAAATGGCGGATTTGTAACAATTGTATCAAATGCATTCTCCCATTTTGAGCCAGACAGTTCGAGTACATTCGTTTGGACACAATCGATAGCTGGTATTTCCATTTCCGTGACATTGTTGCGAAAAATCTGAAATATTAAAAAATGAGTTACACAGATGTAAACAAAAAACCATTAACATAAAATCATACGAAAATATATATGGAAGCTATATCTAAATTTGAACCGATTTTCACGATACTTAACACACATCATTCTAGACTCAATTCAGTAGACTACGCCGAATTTCATGCAAATCGAATGAAATATAGGGGCTTTGGAACACTATATACATTAAATCGGACGAAAATATATATGGAAATCTGAACCGATTTTCAAGAAACTTGGCATACACCATTCTAGACCTAATTCAGTACGCTCTGCCAAAGTTCATGCAAATCGAACAAATATAAGGGGCTTTGCTACTCTATTTACATAAAATCGGACGAAAATCTATATGGGAGCTATATCTAAATCTGAACCGATTTTCACGAAACTTAACAAACATCGTTCTATACGTTATTCAGTACGCTATGCCAAATTTCGTGAAAATCGAAAGAAATTTAGAGGTTTTGATGCTCCCTTAACATAAAATCGGACGAAAACTTAATACACAACATTCTATACGTAATTCAGTACGCTATGCCAAATTTCGTGCATATCGAAAGATACATAGGGTCTTTCGTGCACAACTCGTTTCCATAGACCTTTTTAGGGGTTTTTCTTCTGGACTCCTCTATGTCATCTTTAATACTGGTTGATACCACCACGGATATCTTTTCACCTAGAAGTCCCCTCGAAGATTCTGGTAGTGGCAGATGTTATTGAAAACCTTGTTCCTGCTCCTCATGTAACCCCGTTGACATTATCTAAATCTTCAAAATACTGAAAAGCGTCGAGTCTTATAAGGAAACTTTTTCATTCTTGAAAAATTCGGCAAAACCATTTGGACTCCCAATCATGGACCTATACTGAAGAGTGACTGCCACGACAACCACTTCAATTTGTATTTAATATTAACTTACATCAATTGCATCCGAATCCAACTCAAATCCAATGGTTAGTTGTGCACCCAGCAGAAAGGAACCAATACTTAACATACCACAGCCACATCCTAAATCGCCTACTAATTTATCTTCCAAATCAAAATATTGGGCCTAAAAAACAAAAAAGGAAGTTAACTTTGATAAGTACCTTTACTACAACTTAACATACCTCCACATTATACAAAACACAGCTGGCTATATGAGGAGGTGTTGGATATTGTTCCAACAAGATTTTTGGCTTTTCAAAACCATCGACACCTGACAAAAATTCTTCCAATTTCTTCATACGCATACGTGCCATTGTCAGTTTTTCTACTACTCGTCCTCTTCCTCAATAAATTAAAAAAAGGTTTGAACTAAAACTCAAAATTCTTGCAGTTTTTTTGTTTTTGCGAGTGTGTTTAATTTAACCCTATTTAGCAGTATGATTCGGCGGTAACGGATCCAAGCGAGGCAATACCGGTATAAACGAATTACCGTAATGCGAGTCTTGACTGACAAAATAACCCAACGTTGTCGAACTCGTGGGATTGAAAACTGTTCGTGGAACAGTTATAGCGCCGCTGGATTGAAACTCCGTTGGCTGGCCCAGTATCTGTGATGTTGGCATCTGAAAATATGTAGTCGTTTATTCCAGAAATACACAAAAGAAATCGCAAAGTTGTCGAGGGATCTTCATTTACCTGGGCAATGGGTGTATTGAGATTGTTGAGGCCACCGGTTCCCAGAGTAATATCAGCACCTTTTTGTAAGAGTTGTCGTTTAATTTGTAAATCTTCCAGAATTTTTCGATTGGTTTCTAGAGGTGGAAATGGGGATGCCAATAAGGAATTAGTACGGTGGTGATTGGTTTTGTTGTTTTTTTAGAATAGTGGGGGTTGGGATACCTTGTTGAGCTCCAAGAATAGGAAAAGCCATCAAATAAACAAATAAAATATTGGAAAATCAAAAATATTAATATTGCAATGCAGGAGAGAGCTTGTTGAGCACGCTTAATTTCTTCTGTTGTACAGAGTACTGAGTCAATGGGAGTGTTTAAGCGGCGGCGTTGTTACTGCGTACTGAGGGAAAAAACGTATTGATACGTTTACACAACAGCATTGACAATGTACAGGCAACTATTTACATAGCGTACTAGGCAGTTTTGTCTATGAAGTCCACTCAATTATGAATATCAATTCCACAGGATTTTATTTGATGGATAAGGGAGAGTTTCGGAGATATTCACAAAGTGCATATTTTCCTAAGATCACCGAAGAGGGATTGATACCACTAAATAACCAATCTAAGGTCCGAAATATTCGCCCAGAGTAAAAGTATCTGTCAATGAACGTAGTGTTAAAAAAAACTTTGAAATTTATAAAAGAACCTTACTGGCTGTATGTAACGTTTGTACTCCCCTTTCTTACATTGGTTGCTTTTATGGTTGCAAAGGTCAACAATCGTACACTATTGGCTAAAATGAGTACTGTAAATCGATCCTGAGTACCGAAGTACACCGCAGGCAGCCTTGAATCTCCAACCACTGGATTTTCTGGTTAAATTCCAGGGTGCAAGATGTGCCCTGAGGCTGCGGGAAACGGATACGTGGAAGTCGATTTGGCCACGCTAGTATCCTTAACATACGTCAATTTGTGACTATTTAGAGAGGATCACTCACATCAGTGACTATACTGCCGCTCATAACGACTTTAACGACATTAGAGTAGAGTTTTTTAGTAAGGAATCCTGGACAAGTAGCTCTTAACCTCTGTCCGGTCTGTCTATATTTACAGAGGTCGAAGATTGGTACCGACGGTCGAAGATGGCGGAAGGTACTAGTGCAGGCTTTTACTGCAAGGAAACTGACTATCACGAAAGCGGCTGAGACAGTCAAAACACTTACTGTCGACCGGCCTTTGAAGCACTCAAGTCGTGTACTATTAACTCGAAAGCGGTTCGTGACTGTAAGGGTGCTCTTCGTCATATACCAACGGTAGTTAAATTATGTTGGGTTTCAGGACATAGTAGCATACAAGGGAATTGGATAGCCGATGAGCTTGCTTGAGGGGGTTCGCAGTCGTCCAATCTACCGACTGAGGGATTTGTAAAACCTCTTATTAACTACTTTATTGGCAAAATCCCTATGAGCTACTGCGAGGTAGTCGGCAACAGATGTTCAACAGAAACTGGATGCAGGTTTTCAAAAACTATCTGCCAGAATTCTGTCCCATAGAACTTCTTCGTTGCTGTCTCATTGTAAGAGGGAGATAAAAATCGTTGTCGATCATAGCAGGCCATTGCAGGATTAGATCTCTCATTTCCAAATGGGACATTAACGGAGTGGATTATTGCAGTCTATGTGAGGATGATGAGGTGAGGTCAGACAAGGTGACAGTTTATCGTGTGACCTTTTAACATCCTGCAAGAAAAGATAATACGAGAGGCAAAGGCGAACAGAAATGGCACTCTGTACACAAAACAACACATGTTACTTGCATACGCCGATGACATCGACATAATGTGCCGAACATTGAGAGCGGTAACAGCCACCTTTTAACAAATTGAGAAGGAGTCTGCCAAAGTGGGTCTGGCGAAAAAACCAAGCTGATGGTATCAACGCGCAAGAGTCCAGTAGACTCTGACCAACTGTGGAACTTGATAACTACAGCTTCGAGGTAGTCAAAGATTTTATATACGTTGGTACCGCCATAAATAAAACTAATGAGATCATTTTTGAAATTCGGAGAAGGATAGTGTTGGCCAACAGATGCTACTATGATCTGAGTAAGCAACTCAAAAGCAAGCCCACTTCCCGCCAGACCAAACTCATACTCAACAAGACGCTGATACTACCCGTGCTATTGTATGGATCTGAAGCATGGGTACTTACGCAAGCAGATAAGGCAGCTCTGGCTGTGTTTGAGAGAAAAATTCTCCGAAAGATCTATGGGCCGATCTGCGTTGACGGTGAATATCGCCGTCGAATGAACCATGAGTTGTATCAGTTATTCTCGGACATCGGCATTGTTTGACGTATTGAGCTGCAGCGACTACGTTGGCTAGGTCATGTTGTGAGAATGGATGAAGATCCCCTAGTCCAAAAGGCATATAAAAGCGAACCAGCTGATGGTTCACGCAGAAGGGAAAGGCCACGAATATGTTGGAAAGATCAAGTGGAACATTGCCCAATACGATATTTTAAACTGGAAAAACTGCGCAAAAGACCGATGCGCCTGGAAATCTTTTTTAAGCTCGGCTTATGGAACAAAACTTCACAAAACAATCAATTTTCTTGAGAACAATTTTTTGTTTGTTTACAAAACATAACAAAACAGCTGATTAAATATCAGCTGATGGTACAAGAAAATTTTTACTGAGTAAAATTTTCCTTGTAAGAATTTGCAAATACTCAGTAACACAACTGTCAAATCTGCTCTCTCAATTCACTCTCTTTTACTGGACTTTTGGGTAAACGAACAACATTTTGTAATAATTTGTACAAATTCGTACAAATTATTGAGTAAACGAACGAACCTATTAATTATTATTTCTGTACAGTTGTATGAGAGAGATGATTTTTCAGGAATATTTCGGTACAAATATTCATGCTGTTTTTTTAAATACTCAACAACTCGATGGCTTTCCCGTCAAAAAATTATCGAGGCAGTGGTAATCACTTCAATATTATTTCACTTAATGATTTCGAAGCTGATTCCCAAAAGCTAAGGCTCAATCCTATTCAAACCCTTTTTATACCCTTCACCACACTGTGGTACAGGGTATTATGTCTTTGTGCATATGTTTGTAACAGGCAAAAGGAATCGAGATAGACCCATGGTTCCTTTTGAGAATATGCATAGAATCACATTCTGAGTCGATTTATGCATGTCCGTCTATCCGTCATATCAAATTTATATTTCTATCGCTTCCACATCTTTCCTATAATTGAGCCATTGCCATATATATGTGTAACACATATGAGAATGCTGGGAATATCGAGTTATTCCTTGAAGAAAGATTTGCTTCCTCAAACTTTCCCAGCAGGCAGATTGAGTAAATTGAATACAAGAGCACATTTAATAAAGAACAATTTCAAATTGTATGCGTTCCCAATTTTCCTGTTGGGTGATTTTTAAAAACATAATTTGTCAAATTCATATTGACACTAGTATTACGTTGGAATCAAATCAGCTGGGATTTGCTGTTACCTTTTATAATTGTACCATGATATATATACATCTTCAAACAGCTGGTCAATCAGCTGATGAATTTGCAAAATAACTTCATGCAGAGCCGATTGTTGACGGCGTTACACATAAATAGTCGACTTCATCTTTTTACCCATAATTGACAGTTTTTGTATTGTTACATTGCGATTGGTGTTGTTTTAATTTGTTGTTTATTCCCCTTCGATACGCAATAGAAAAGAATAAAACGCGTTTATTGTTTGGTAATTCGTAATTAATACCAATAAAGATAAATAAATTTACATATTTGACATCACAAAGGTAAAATTAAGAGTTTATAAAAGTGATTTGTGAGTATGCTATTGCAATTTTTTTTTTTACTTGTCGTTTGCGAAACAATTATGGCTTGTTGCAGTACCGCGTGACACCCTCCCTCCCATATCCATTTTTCTTAACTTGTATTGTTGTCATTGTTAGTAATGATGATTTTTCTTTTGGTGATCCTTACACCTCCCCCCACCACTTGGTTATGATGCCCTATTCCCATGCATTGCATTTGCAATTTTTGTGTGCCCCTGACAACAAACCAAAGAAAATCATATTGTCCAAACATGGGGACATGAAGTCCGTAATCATTTCTTAGAAATTTCATATCTAATAGGGATTTTGTAATTTAAAAAAAATGTTTTTATTATTGCGCTGAAAGTGGAAAGTGATGTATGCACTTCGATAAATTTATTTGCAAAAAAAAAAGTGGAACTGACTGCATATATGACTGACTCAAATGTATGCAATTTGAAGTGGATATTTCCTTTAGATGATGATTTTTTTAATAAGGAATAATTGTTGGCAGACAAGTAAATGATTAAATGATTAGTGAAAGTTTTTACTGTGTAAATCAAAGTAAATTGTTTGTAATATTTATAAAAAAAATCAATTGGTACTGCTAATTTAATATAGTAAATTTCGATATTTTAGGACAATCCTACATATGAAATGCCCAAATACAATTTAACAACAACAATTTTTTTAAGAATAACTTCTGAAAGATTTAAAAATTAATTGGTTTTTTATCTCAGGCTTCATGCCCAATTAATTGGCTCCAAGAAAAAGAGAAATTAAAATTGGTGAGAATCAGATCAGATTTAAATAAAGATCTGAGGACTTTGAAAGCAGTAAGGGCACACATTTCCGATGCCGGTTGCAATAATAATCGATAAAAATGTGAAACATTGCTATACCGGACCTTAACGGGCTTGCCAAAGAAAAAGCATCTCTCCGAAATTGAAGGAGATTTGTTTTGGATTTAACTGCAACTGTAGATTACGATAGAATGACGTCTGGGATATATTCTAGATAGCAGCCGAAAGTATGGCTGCGTTCGTTCGGCCATTACTTTGACATGTTTGGCATAAAACGGCTGATAGCATATCACATAGAAGTAATCGAATCTTCTAATCCCGTTGTAATTCACAATACATTATTATGGGATTTTTGAAAATTTCCTCACTGTTTATCACTGAGGAAGGAAGTCCAGACTGGAGCTGCACATTTAAGTATGGAACGGCGGATGACGTTATATGTCAGTGTCTTCTTATCATTGGCACAGCAGGTCCCACCCCGAGTTTTTAGAACATTGTTTCCATGTGGTGAATGAACTTTCATATTTATTTTGGTATATTCGGATTTTCGACAACGGAACTTAAAGAAATCCGGTGGTCGATTAGGGTATTTGATATGGTAACGATCAATTGAATAGTGGCATTCGTGCTTTCGAATATAAGCATATAATAAGCGAACTTTAGAATGACTTGGACAGTCCTAAG